TTGGCAACTACATCAGCCAATTCCCTTAGGAGTCTGGGATGCATATACTGCCAAACAAATTTCAAAATATATTTCCAATTTTCTATTGTAATGATCCTACTTTGAGTTACTTGTAATGTAATTTTTACTTATCCTCACTGAAATTTTTTTATTCCAGATGTCTGCTTCAGGTCCTTTTTTTCTGTAACTTTCCTGCCAGTCTAAAATCTTACACAGTTTCATAGCATTTCACTGCAAGATGTATTTAAATCCCCTGGATCAAAGATTCACAAGGATTTAGTTCAAGTATTTGTACAGACAATAATAGCAAGTACCGTTTTTGTGGCAGCAGTAAAGCAGCCGTGCTTCTATTTCAGCCTTCTCTTTTCCCTTAGAGTTAGTGGGTGTTTAAGTGACCATCTTCAGATTGCCCATTATCATTTTGACAGTGACCTCTTCATGGTAGAGTGAGAGAAATCTTTATCAAGTTCCAGTTCCTTGGCTTTTGCCAAATACTGACAGATTTCTCAGCTGTAACATGAATTCCATCTCTCTATGTATTTGTCATTATATGATAGTGGCAGTTCTACATTCATGTAAATTTTTCAATATCTCATCTGTTTTCCAGTCCTGGAGATGTTGAGTTAACAACAGTCATGCTGAGTGATTTGATAATAGATCATAATGAATGATGAATGGAGATGATGTCTGTGTTTTCCTACTGCACCATATGAAACTAAAGTATCCTAGATAATCCATACATATAATTTGTATGATTTAATAGCCAGATCTTTACAGAGATGTTAAAAATCTAACCTCTTTTTTCACCTTCAAGTTGCACTACCCATCAAGATGAATCCTTTCTGTCTTGACTAGCTCTCGTTTATTTCAGGCGTCTACCTTTTGAATAACATTAGTGAGCAAGAATCTACTAGAACTGAGATAAAATTACAGTATAGGAAAAATCAATTGTATGCTGGTTTTCTTACTGCAAAGTCTGGCAATGAACAACTTAAAAAACCCTGGTAAAGTTAGCCTGCAGCTTTGGCTCAGTAAGTGACTGCTGTTCAAACAACAAATTGTACTCCCTTTTTATTGTTTCAGGGAATTAGCTAGTATAGTGGGATTTTCAGTAAGAAAGGCCAGTGCTGTTTTAGTGTAATTGCATGGGTTTAATCTTCATTGTGTTCCTTTTTAATTATTAAAATTAGCATTTTGTATATTAACACTTCATAGGAGCAAGGGAAACTTATTGAAATAGAATGCCTGGAATGTGAATATGAAATAAAAAAAATTGGCACTAAAATTGCAACTTATACCAAAGGAGTCGTTGAGGTATGTTCTTTAACATTAACTTCAAGAGAAAAGTAAAAGCTTTAATTTGTTAAACATGGAAGATTGCATTGGACTTGTTTGTCTTAATTACATTATACTGAGCAGAAATTCTTGTAAACTTTATATTCTTTCTAATAGGGCTGCTGAGAAGAAAACACAAAAAAATAAAACAACAGTTGTATATTCCCCCTGTATATTCAGACCTTAAGTCTTCTGTCTGACTATAAAGGTTCATAAAATACTACTTTCCAAGGAAGGGACCTAAAAGATTAAGCCCCCTATGATGGGCAGGGATACCTTCCATTAGACCAGGTTGCTCAAAGCCCTATCCAGCCTGGCCTTGAACACTTCCAGGGGTGGGGCATCCACAACTTCTCTGAGTGACCTGTTCCAGTGCCTCACCACCCTCATACTAAAAAATTTCTTCCTTATATCTAATCTAAATTTAACCTCTTCCAGTTTAGAGCCATTGCCCGTTGTCTTATCACTGCATGCCCTTGTAAAAAGTTCCTCTCCAGCTTTCTTGTAGGCTTTCTTCAGGTACTGGCAGGCTGCTATAAGGTCTTCCCAGAGCGTTTCTCTTCTCCAGGCTGAAAAACCCCAACTCTCTCAGCCTTTTGTCATAGGAGAGGTGCTCCATCCCTCTGATCATTTTTGTGGCCTCTGGATCTGCTCCAGCAGCTCCATGTCCTTCTTATGTTGGGGCCCCAGAACTGGATGCAGTGCTGCAGGTGGGGTCTCACAAGAGCAGATTAGAGGGGCAGAATCACCTCCCTTGACCTGCTGGCCACGCTGCTTTGGGTGCAGCCCAAGATACAGTTGGCTTTCTGGGCTGTGAGTGCACATTGCCAGCTTATGCTGAGCTTCTCATCAACCAAAAAATATTGTAAACGTGGTAGCATTGAGGCATGCAAAGACAACACTCTTGTTTTCATATTGTACATTTATGGAAAGTGTTTTCATACATTTTCATACTTCCCATAGTTGGAAGGGACCCATATGGATCATAGAGTCCAACTCAACCCTTATTGCATGTTATGGGTCTCATACAAATTCTTATGTCAGAGAAATGCAGATTATTCCTGATAAATTGTCACACTGGGGAGGATTTTCTTAGATTTCTGTAGTCGGTTGACTCAGATTACTTCAGACAATCAAAAATAGAAGCCTTGTCAATGTTATCAATTGGATTGGATAGATACCTACAATGAGCAATTTAGAACATCTATTAGAGGCAACTAAAGTTCCTAAAATGGGAAATGTGCATATGCTTCATGGAAATTGATAGTGTTAGTGCATAAACTTACTCCCAGCTATGACTGTTCTCCTTTTGGGGTTCAGAAGTTCCATTCACCTTGTGGAAAAAAAAAAAATTATGAATTCTTCATAATGTGAAACACTACTAATACTACTTAAATTTAAAAAAGGATATTTGGATACGTAGTTATTTCTAAATATTCCTACCACAGTGTATGCAGTTAGAGAGCTTTGTTTGATCTTTTTCTTTTTTTTAATTGCATAACCACCAAAGAACTTAATAATTAGCAAGTGTCTGTTACTGTAGGTAAGGATTTGCTTTTAGTTTTAGTAGGAACCAAGTTTAATTGGCAGTATGGCAAATCCCATTCATAATATTTCTTTGTTTCCTCTCCTTCAATGCAGTTGTAGCTTAGTATATAAAAAAAAAGCAGCTAAGCCTCTTGAATTCACAAATGTTTCACAATTATCAGTTTCTCCTTATCATAAGAAAGGGGAATAGCTGCAGACTTCTGCCTGAAATATGTAGTAGCAGCATGGCTTACCTAAAAGAAATACTCCTTAGTTATAAATGCCTATTAAAAGAAAAAGTTTCTGAAGTCTGCTGGCTGAGGGACTGCCTTCTATCAGAAACACCTCTACAGTTAAAATTTGAAGGAACGTGTAAGAAGTTGTATTCATTAAATGCAATATATGCTAATTAATTATTCATTTGTGTAGGCTCAGCTGGAATTAGTTAAAAAGCTTGAGTTAACCTTAGAACATGCAGTTCAGTTGGGAGATCCTGATGTGATTCAGGTTGTTTGTACAACCCAGTGGAATCTGTGCTTACCACTGCTACAACACAATTTGCATCAACATGTGCGAAAGCCATTGATATCAGTTGCTGATGTCCTTGAAGAGATTGACAGGTAACTTTCTATGCTCTGTACTTTTTTATTTGTTACTTTGAAAGGTCTGATGACTATCAAACTTATTTAAAAGCTCAAGCTCTAGGATGTTAAGTGTCTTTGAAAGTTTTCCACTAGCTTGTAATAAACCAATGTCTGCATATTGCGTACATTTCCTTGTTAATCATTTAAATCTAGGTTCCTTTCAGGCAAAATCTCACACTGTTTGATGGCCTATAGCAAATAGTGAAATTTGTTAGGAACTGAAAAATCCTATGGTTAATCAAAATTATGTGAGAAAATTTCACAGCTGCAGTGTGAGTAAATGTGTTGGAATTAACATTACTTATTTTGATTAAAAAAATACAATTAAAAAATTACTTTTAAAAAATATCATGGCTTCTGTATTACATATCAAATAAGACACTTCTTGCAAGATGCTATTTTTATATCTTTAGTGATACTTCTTAATTGAAAAACCTACTGCATTAAGAAAAAGTTTGGGTTTTTTTAGATGTATTTTGATTAAAAAAATACAATTGAAAAATTACTTTTAAAAAATATCATGGCTTCTGTATTTTGCCGTTATGCTGTACTTAACCATAAGCACCTAAATAGCTTCACCTGTTTCGTCAATTTGAGTGGAACAAGTAAACCTTAGTATGTGGTACTTAAAAGTCAAGTTTGGAGATACACATAGGCTGACTGCTAAGAAAAAAGATCGTAACTTTTGTAGTCGAGCTAGTTACAATTGACATAATCTGTAATTAGAACAGAACAGTAGGTGGTTTCTGATAAAATTATTACAGAGGAAGGTGAGGAATATGTTTTCAGTGTTTTCAAAATGTAATTTTTTAGTTGCATGAAGAGGAAACAGAAGCCTGAAGAAGCAGATATACACATGTATAAAACCACTATATAGTACTACTATACTGTTATTCAGGCATTTCTTATGGTTTCCATATAAAGAGTGCAATATCAGCATACTTTGATACTTACACTAAATGTCATTAATGACAATTTTTCTCCAAAATGTTTCTGGTTAGGTTTTTGGGGAGTTAAGATTTTGGCTTTTGTTATCCATATATTCCTAACAGTCCAGTTGACTCAACCTCAGCTCTGAGGTGGTACTGTCGCTAGAGATTGAATGAAGTCACTTGTCCCTATTAATTTGCCTGTCTTCACTTTTGTTTTGATTGTAGCATTAATTGTAACTACTTTGGTCAGCAGTAAAAGGGGGATACTTGCTCAGTCAGGTTAGCTCTAATGTGAACATACGTTAGTTCTCTGGCATGACATTTGGTAGCCTTGAAAACCTTCCTTCTGTTCTATTTTTCATAACATTGATTTTATTTATCTGATTTTTCATTTTTCTTTCTGGAAATAATCTAAAGTAGCATGTAGAGCTCACAACTGTCATGAACAGCTTCCTGGAGCAGGTGATGGATAGGGAGCATATCTATTTTCATCCTGGAGTCACTTAATTATTGAGGTTCACTTTTGGGTAATTTTTAGGTCTAAGAATTTGGTTGCTGCATTTTAACAGTTTACATTTAAATTCCTATTCCTTAGCATGTTGATCTTGTTGCGTTGCCAAGTTCATATGGAAATAGCTCGTATTGAAGAAGGTGGGGATAGAATAGAGGCTGCTGTGGAACATTTACAAAAAGCTATACATCTAAACAACAGCGGGCAGTATCAAGAACATCTAAGACTGACTTTTAACCGTCTTCGTTTATGCGCTGTGCTGTATAAGTCACCTGAGTGTCTAGAGGATCGGGCAGTAATGATGATTGAACAGGTAATCATGAAGAATAAGGTCAGTAGCTGAAATAGGTTTGCTTATTAAATTCTCGCAGAGGAAAGCCAGCTGCTTAGTAGAACTGCATATTAGTAGAGCCAGCATCACCTTGCTTTCAGCAAATTGGCTGGTTGGTAGCCTTGAAAAACTCCCTGAATTCTCTCTGTAGTGGTTATGCTGCTTCACACTCTGAAGATTGCGATAGAGGATTTTTTCCAGTTATATTCAAAGCTTATTTCTTGGGGGGGGGAAGTTACTAATGAGAAAAAATATAATAAAAAAGAAGCCTATTCATAATTGTGAACAATTAAGATTTCATTGCATGGAACAGTGTTTTAATTAATAAGGGGAACAGTGGCCAAATAGCTCAACATCCTAGCTGGCTTTGAGATAAATCGGTATTATGTCACACTTACAAATGTTGCTAAATAATATAATCTAAAATCACAGTGTAGTCATTGTAAAGAGTTATTGCATCTAATTGTGTTGTGGTGACTCAGCACCTGAAAAAAATCTGATTTTTGTTCAACTGATGGCAACTGATTGTTAGTTGGCTAAAAGAAATTTCAGCTATACACCATTTTGGGATATTCACACACAAATTAAGATGTGTTCAGTGAACCCAAAATCAGTACTGGTGAGTTGATATGTCTGTTGTTAAGGCAAAGAAAAGTGAAGATTTTTTTTTTTGTCTAGTTTTAATGCTTCTCCATGCAAGCTTACTCTGTTTAAATGTTACTTTAAAAAAAGCCCTTATGCCTCCTCAGACTTTGGTTAATTCTCAGTGGACTAGGAATTTTTTCATATTTTGTAGCAATTCCTAGTTATTGCACAACAGATATGTTGTTGCTGATTTCTACATAAATACTGTTCTTTATTTAGGAAAGTGTAACATAATGACAGGTTGTACACTGAGGAATATTGTAAAGATCCATGAGGAGCATGAACAGTACTTTGTATTCAGTTATCATTGATGTATTCATGTCAAGATCAACCAAAGTTCTACAGTCACTTTCAACAACAATAATACTGCAGAATGATGTGTAAGATATATGAAGACACATAATTCCTATATTTTTTTGGTAGTACCAAATTCTTAGTAAGTAAGATATATAAATAAGAATATAATAAAAATGAACCTTATAACAATTAGTTGTTTTCTTTATATAGGCTAAAAGGGGAAAGCAGAAGGATAATGTGAGGAAAAAGAGGTCCCTTCTGGTAAACGCAGGTCTTGCACTAGCTCCTGATTCATTTCAAATAGTCCTTGACAGTGAAAATGAAGCTAAAGGTAATGTACGTATGTGTGACTAAAAGTTACTACACTTGACTTTCACTGCTTTGCACAGTCTTAAAGGTTGGACGCAACATCTAGTGCCAACAAGTAGAGAATACTGCAATACAGGTGAAGTGACAGTTCTGCTGAATTCTGTGGCAAAGCTCCATTGATTTCATTAGGGATCTAAGTTTTATATTGTGATACTGGAAGAGGAAATGTAATTGTTTTCCCCTCTGAATTCATCTGAATCTCATTGTTGTGCTGTAGCGTGCTGTAATTTTATTTTTGCTATGTGCAACTCCTGAATGTTCTTACCCAAGGTCGGTTTTAGGTGGTATTTTCAGAATTTTCACCCCGTGATATTCTGTATTAATTACATACAATATTGGATATTTGATCTGTATTATAACTGTCTTTCTGTTCTAAAGTCTTGCTTTTGAGAGATCAAGTTTTGCACAGAAATATAGGCATGAATTCTTTATTTACTTTCCAAAACATAGATCGTAAACCAGCACGTTCCTTATGCCACAAACAGCTTTGGTTTGTGACTATACAGCCTGCTGTTGAAGAAGAGTGGACAGGGAACAGATTTTTCAGATTGCTTGAACTGTTTTATCTTATCTTTGCGATTAAGAAGCGTGTGACTAATTTAACTAACTTTCTGAGTATACCCAGTATACTCCCAGGGTAGAGATTATGCTGGAGGAAAGGAATGCTACAGAAGGAGTCCTGTAGCTTCTAAAGCAGCCTGTTCGTGCCATGGAAGGCCATGCAGTTCTCTCATGCCATTTATTCAGCTAGCTAAAATGTTTACCTTGCATATTCTCATTTAAAACTTGATCATCTGATGACTTAGACATAAGAGTGTTATTTACAGAATCAACAGTCACACTTCCTGCAGTACATTTAAGTATGTGAAAATTATTTTGTTGGAAAACATTTTCATACATGATTTAAGGTGATAAAATGCATTATATTTGCGCAATGAAGAGAACTAAATGCATGCATGTATTTCAACTTGCTCTTGAATTTTGACTTGACAGCTGTAAAATTATATCCAAACTTCCTCACAATAAATCTTATTACACATTAGGCTGCCAAGATAAACCATTAAAATGGGTGAGATTATCACAATATTACAATTATTACAATACTTTCTATCTGTTTGACACAATGATTTGCGAACTTTTGTTTTGAAAATTTCAGTTGTTCCTGAGGCTGTCATCCAAAGAGTGAGTTTTTTGCTTTCTCCATGACATTTACATTACATAAAACTTAAACATGTTTATTGAAGGAATAAGAAAATACATATGCAACTGTATTATTAAAATATACATAGGACAGGACATCAGATTTGTAGGGTTATTTTTTCTTTTAAGTTGCATCGCTGTGCATCAACATTTAATTCTTTTTTGATATATATGCTGGCCTATATTCAGTGAGAGTTGTACCCATAGATCCAGAGAACAATGTAATTTTTTAATCCACAATTCTTTACCCTACAACCTTACATGGTATTACTGTCATTATGTATTAAACTGCAATTTTAATTAAGCAATTTCTGTCAGTTGATCTATGTGTATAGTTAGGTAACACAGCCTTATCATATGCTGGATAATGCATTGCAAAATATTTTTAAGAAGAATGGTAAGGCACTATGCCTTCCTCTTTTCATTGTAAGTGAATGTAAGTGAACCTGCTTATATGTATTTTTTTTTTAAAGCCAGGAATACTTTATATGTATTTGCTGCTATTATTTGCAAATTTTTTTAGGATGAAATTAAAACTTATCATTCTGCATTACATTAGGGACCATTGCTTAGATTCAAGTGAATGTACAAACTCATTGGATTTCCCAGACACATCAAGTTAGTTGTATTCTAATGCAAAGCATCTCCTCTATGTCATTACACTGCAAAAAATAATCTCTTCTTGATGTGTGAGTACCACTGGAGTAATTTTCTACTTCAGAGGGCCAGCTTGCTCCTCCATTGCATCATTTTTTTATGTTGGCAATGTCTTTGTTTAATATTTTTTCCCAATATCTTGTTCACTAAGTAAAGCAAAAGTCAGTATTCTCAAATTAAAACAAAATAACAAACTTTAATATTGATTGAAAAAATGTTTGATTAGGTAAGTGTTCTTAAAATTCAGCATGAATGTAAACTTTATGTATTACTTCATCCATTTCTCTTGACTGAGGCTAACTAAAGCAATGTGTGTCCTGTCAGAAAAGAGGTGTACTTGAGATAATTTGGGGGCCAAACAAGCATAGATCAGTTTTTGTATGGGACAGCTATATCTGAAGATACAGGAAAAACAGAACAGATGCTGGTGGGGTGTGGTTTTTTTCATGTTGGTTGGTTGGTTTTGGAAAAGCTTGAAAGACTGAAAAAAGAGCTGGATTTCAAGTGTTTCAGAAAGTAGTTATCAATCAATTTGCGTACCCTTCTTGTGGATTTTTTTAATCTCCAATACTTAAAAATTACCTTAAATTCTTTTTTTTTATAAGTTTCTTCAGGTAAAAGTAGGAGTCAAATAAGCTACCTCTGTGCAAAAGCACAACATCATATTAAATGCATGGAGAAAGTTGATGAACATTTGAAGCACTTAAGAAATGAAAAGGACAGAGAGAGGTAATTACTATAGACAAGAAACATCTCTTTTGTCTTGTGTAGAAGTCTCCAACAGGAAGGTTTCTTATTGCAGCTGTTAAGTTACTTGATGATGCCTGACCTGCCAAAGCATTGAAGCAGTTGTGAGTTGTAGCATGCGATGTGGTCCTTGATGCACAATTGAAACTTTGCTGAAGCGTCTTTTTAGGTCCTTGTACCACATCGCATGCTACAACTTTTCAGATAAAGAAATGAAGTAGTCCATTCTGAGAGTCAGAAAGATTAATCTGTAGGAGAATCTCAGGTTTTATTTTGACTATTTGTATAAAATTTTATCATTCTTTACTTAAAAGGAGGAGTTTTCTAAAACAGTCTAAATCCCAACTTGTTTTCAAGACTTATTTTGAAGTTCTCAACATCAGCTTTAAAATATTTAGTTTATAAATACTTATATAAGATATACATATCTTATTTTGTAAGATAGATAATTAGGGGTGTCACACACATTTTGAAATTTCAGTATAGTTACTGTCCAAAACAAGAATTTTGTTGCACTCTTAATGTGCTGAGGGGATTTAAAAAAAAAATTATTAAAGTAATAGTGTTACCTTTGCTACTGAAAAAGAGTCTTCCATTTATTTATTATCAGATTTAAAATTTTATTTATGATGGCCATCATTATTGACATCATTTTTTTGTCAGTCCTGAAGTGTGGAAGATGATCCTGCTTATAAAATAATGTTATGTATGCTTTTTCTTTGGTAGAATTATACTTTGGGCAGATTTGGCAAAAGTTGCACGTAAACAAGAAGTATGGGATGTCTGCCGTGCAGCATGCAGATTTTGTCTCTTGTATGATGAAACTTTGTTTAGGAAGGTAACAAAACCTAAAAAAAGTAAGTGAACAAATTATTTTGAATGTTATAAGAGGAACTTTTTCCTCATTTATTAGTTACTGGAAGGTGTCAGCCAATATTATTATTTTCTTCCCTCCCATTCCGAAATTTCCCTGAGACTCTTGTCTGTCACTGCATGGTGACATACATGGAATATTCATTCTACCTCTGCATCTAGAAATTAGTCAATACATTTTTCTGTTGAAAACGTATTTTGCCTTCGGAAGTGTTTCACCAGTGCTAAAGAGAAGTGCTTATATGAAACGTATCTACCTATCTAAGAAAATAGGTTCATTCCCTAATGGTCATCTAGGTCCATATTATCCATCACTGTCATACTTAATTACGTGAGCAAGCTGAAAAAAAAGTATTACCAGTCATTTTGTATGAGGCTTGCATGGTAAAATTTTTTACCCTTTATTCCCTTATTAGTGGTTCCTCTGATGTATCCAATATTGTTTGTGCCTTGTTACTTGAGGGTCTGCTAAAAACCTGTCACACATGTTCCATAGGAACTGGTATGTTCTTTTTTTCTTTCACAAGTTTTGCATCTCCAAAGTGAAGGTGTCTTTCTCATACCCTGAAAGTTTACAGGGCCTTATAATTTTATCTGTGACAGTTTAAACACTTTTCCTGGGTAGGCAGATCAATCACAGAATCACAGGATCATTAAGGTTGGAAAGGAACTTCAAGATCATCAAGTCCAACCGTTAACTCAACACCACCATGCCCCCTAAACCATGTCCCGAAGCGCCACATCCACAAAGACACTTTTCATCTCTGTTCAGAAGTGTTTCAGGTGGTCCAATCAAAGTTTGTTAGGAGGTTGCTCATGAAGTCAGTTGATGCTTGCAGAGGTGGAAACTCTGGTAGAACTTCACTAGAAATCAAGCAGTAACTGTGACCTCACTGAAGGTCTCCATTCTCAAGAACTGTAGAGTGGCCTCCTGGAAACCCATTCATACTTCCACTGAGTGCTGCATGTTTCTGTAAATGCAAAGCAAACAATGCTGCATTTTCTAGAGCAGTTGAGGTGATCTATTCTGGGAAGTTTCTAATTGTGGGAATACAATTTGTAGTTATTTGAAATGTGAATAATACTCAAGGCAGGAAGAGAAATTTAATATTGACTGGAGTTCTCTGAGAAGTGTTGGCACAGTTCATTTTCATGTTCCACTTGATTTTTCTCTGCTAAATTCTAGGATTAGTGGGTGAGAAAAATGAAAGGTTATCTTTATATAATATTGAGGACAGGGCAAAGATAATCGTTGTAGTGTGAGACCCTCTACAGAGGCTTGCTGGGTTGTCAGGCCTGAATAAGGGCAAATAATTCAAGACGTTCTAGAGTTACAGAAAAAGAACATACCTGTTCCTATTAATGATGCTTTTGGTGGTTGCCCTGAGCTTCTGCTAAGTACTTCTTTCTACCTCTAGTTTGGAAAAGAGATAAAAGATGAAACATGGCTAATCTGAAGAAAGTAAGTATGTGTGATTGGTCTGGGAACCAGGATCAATCCAGTAAAATTATCATCCTGTAGGTTTTAAGAAAACAAACCCATTATTTTTAACAGAAATTAAAAGGTTATTTTGGAATATCGAAGTATGGTTTAAAAAATTAGACAAAGACTAATAAGTTAGGTTTATCAGAGAGTATTGAATTTGATGGTTCGAACAGAACCTCTGGTTCAGGAGATTGCTCGGATGCAGATTCTGAAAAACTGTGACGGTATGTCAGGAAAAAAAGTAGCTTTGTGTATCCTATTTTTTATGCCTTTCCTCAAACACTCACTTATTGGCCAACAATGTAGAGGGAGCCCACTGTCACAGCTTTTATGCTCTTATTTTGTGTTTATATTAAAATAATCTTGGTCCTTTCTCTTCATTATTAAACCAAAGAAAAAGAATGCTATTTTCTCTTTATTGACGTGTATGTTGCTGTCGTGGTTTAGCCCCAGCCAGCAACTAAGCACCATGCAGCCGCTCGCTCACTCCCCCACGGTGGGACGGGGGAGAGAATCGGAAGAGTAAAAGTGAGGAAACTCATGGTTTGAGATAAAGACAGTTTAATAAGTAAAGCAAAAGCCGCGCACGCAAGCAGAGCAAAACAAGGAATTTGTTCACTACTCCCCATGGGCAGGCAGGTGTTCAGCCATCTCCAGGGAAGCAGGGCTGCGTCACACGTAATGGTTTCTTGGGAAGACAGACGCCATAACTCCGAACGTCCCTCCACCCCTTCCTTCTTCTTCGTCCCAGCTTTATATACCGAGCATGACGTTATATGGTATGGAATATCCCTTTGGCCAGCCTGGGTCAGCTGTCCCGGCTGTGTCCCCTCCCAGCTCCCTGCGCACCCCCAGCCTGCTCGCTGCAGGCCAGCACGAGAAGCTGGACTGTCCTTGACTACTCAGCAACAACTCAAAACATCAGCACCTTATCAACATTTTCTCATCCCAAATCCAAAACATAGCCTCAGGCTAGCTTCTGTGAAGAAAATTAACTCTACCCTGGCTGAAACCAGGACAGTTGCCAAACCAAGCCAGGATTTAAACACACCGAGATTTTAGCCACTATATAATGTCCAGCGCTCCACTTCCATTGAAGCAATAAAATTGAACTAGAGGCCATGGATTATATTCATATTAATGTAATTTCAGTATGCATGTTATAACTTGAGCAAGTTATTTGCTGCAAATATTGAAGTTTATGCACAAATGCAGCAAAATCACAGGTAACCAGTACCTTTGAGTGCAATAAATTGTACTGATGAAAAAAGAAAAAGAGTGAAATAGTTTTAAATCTGTACTTGCTAACTCTTTCTGGTGGATTTAAAAATGTGTAGGGATTTTTAAATTTTAAAATGAAGGTGATTTTTTTTTTCTGATTTGCATAGTAATAATAATGGATTTGTTTGTTTGTTTTAGCACAGAAGAAGAAAGCTGATGATGATGAGGGTGACGGCTTACTGAGAGAATCATTACTACCTGCTAAATCATTCTCTTTTGAAAGAGATTTGCTCAGAATATTAGCAGAAATAAGATTCATTAATGCAGAGGTAAGTAGATTATACAGCTGTCATATTTGCTTCATTTAGGTGTTTTTAATGTATAAATCTTAAAGCACTGAAGTTTTGAGTTTAATTATTGTCTACCTCAACAGGGACTAAAGGAAGAAGTAGTTTCATGAAGTATCTTTATCAAAATACTGTGTAGAAGTAACTATAGCAATAGTTTCACTGCAAGTGGTGACAACACTTTTTTACAAGGGATTCTGTTGTAAATGCTTGACATGTAACATTATATTTCTGGATGCTTAAAGTTCCAGCATGATTTTTTAAAACAAAAGTATATATAAAATATATATTTTTTATTTTCTCAATGAAATTATTTCATAAAATTAGCTGTAGACAATTGGAACATTATGAAGTATTTTACATGGTGTTTCATATAGTTGTACATGCCTATACAACATCTGAAAAAGCATTTTGTATTTTTTAATTTTTGAAGAGGTAACAACACTAAGTCACAGTCTATTTTCACAGTGATAACCTGGGTAGAAAATGTATTTTTCTGTATCTTTCCAGGCAACTGTTCATTTATTGAGGTTGCAGGGAATTGAACTGAATGATCATGCTGTACCTCCAGAAGATACAAGGCAGTATAATCCAGGATATGTTTCATATCTTTCTGAAAATGATCCAGAATGGAAGACATACAGGTGCTTTTATTTAATATATAACAAGACCTAGGAACTCTAAACAGATTTTTACTATGACACATAGATGATAACTGCAGAAGTTATGTCTTCTTAGTAAAATTAATTGTTACCAGATGCTTCATATTTTTAGGTAGTCATGGTAATGGGAAAAAAAAAAGAATCTAAAAAAATAATTTGAAATAATTTTTCTGTAGTTTGCTTTCATTCTGGAGTCTGCATTTTATTTTTCATTTAACATTTATTTCTCTGAAACTGGAAGCTAGTATTCCAACCTTAAAAACTATTAAAGCTGTGTTATGTTCACATTTAGACAACAAAATTCTATATTTAAAAATATTAAAAATTAAAATTAAAAAACTCTTTGTCTTACTTTATAGCTCCTATAACTATAATGATGTCTGAGTACTTGAAAAGATACAACAAATTAGTTCAGTTTGCAAAACTAGTCTGTTCCATCCAATCCACTGAAATGAATAAGGGAGATAGAACATAGCAAGTATTGGTTTTTTTCTGGTCTCATGATTATTTCTTGCGAAGGAGGAGAGGGGGGAGAATTCTGAAGATGATATTTAAACTCTTTTCTGTTCACATTCATACTAATTTTAGCCTTCTTGTGACAGTGGTCATGTCCTGAAAGAGTAGGATGTCAGAGTTGTGTCCCTAAGTCTGTTCGTTAAGTCTGAAGATTAAGTAAAGTTTCTCACACTGTCTGCTTGCAAATGTTCAGTAAAACAGGAAAAAGTATGAACTGATCAGAACCAAGGGACAAAGATGATGAGGATTCTGTTCCAAAATTTGCTACTAAGCCGTTTTTGAGGTGACCCAATTAGATTAGAAACTCATAGGAGAAAAGCATTTCAGCCTACAGTGTCCTGTACCATTGTTGACATAGTAATACCCTGTGTCCGTTTGTGCTTTTGGTTTTGTGACTTAACCATGACCATTCCGTATGGTCATTCAAGACTGTATTTTTAATACTGCTTTTTCTAAGTAATGGTACATCTTGATAATTAAGAAAAAAAAAGAAAAGAAATAAAAGTTACTGGAAAAAAAGTTGTTGCATAGACTTAGAAAAAGGTGTTATTCTATTAAAAAATAATTTATCATTTCAGAACATCTGGAGATATGCTTCAGTGCAAGAATACATGCAGTTGTTAAGTGAAAAAGATGCTACCCTAACACTTGAGTGGAATGCCTTACTTGTATCTGTATTCAAGTAGAGTCCTGTCATGGATATTTAATGATTTCTAGCACTGATGTGTGGATTCACATGTGCATTTAAGAAAAACGTGTATGAAGCATGAACTATAGCCACTATCTTTTAAGCTAATAGCATTTGAGTGTCAGAGACCATTCATATTATGTTGATACTAATTCCTTTTCTAAGTCATCTTCTCATCCAAGTAAAATATAAGTTAATGGATGAAGACTTAATAACTGCAACTGAAAAGTAATTAAATTTGTTGTTGTTGTTGATTGAGATGTATTACTGCATATTTAACCTTACGATATAATTCCTTCTAGTGTTGAAGTTTTGGAATAATGACTTCTTTATACTAATTTTATAGTTTATGGATAGACTACTTATCTCAGTACGCTATGGAAAACTTCCAACGTGCAGCCGAAATAGGGGAAGAATTGAATGAAGCCTGGATTGTTCACAATGCTGTGGTGTATATCTTAAACTACAACAGGCATCTGATCTCCTCAGGAAGACAAAGGGAAATTATTGAGTATCTGCAGACTCTTCTTGGAGCCATGAAGACTGTTGGGCACAATGGGTAAATTTAAATGTTTGGTAAATTTAAATGTTTGGTTATGAATGTGCTCTTTTTTTCTAAAACAGAAACAATATTTTTACAAACATTGTAAGTCACTTTGTGCTGTGAAAGACTCTTGTTGCTGGCTTTTAGTAGTAGTAGAAGGACTTTGGTATATACAGAGTAGTTCAGAAGATAAATTTAGTTTTGTGGTGTGAAAATGACTTTTTAATCCTTTCTATTTGTTCTTTGTTACTATTCACTATAAGCCATGTTAGCTTTCAACTAAGCAATATTAATTTCTCTTCATTGTGGAATAGCAACATGTGCATGTGAAACAGCATTTTGTTAAGCTAGTCAGAAAGAATCAGGAAAATTTTCTTAGCCTGTGAGTTTGCAGGACAATTCAAAATGTGTTTGCTCTGAAGTTGAATTACATAGTAAATATAGGTCACTGTAAATATTTCGAATCAGAATAAGGTGATTACTATTGTTTTCCAAAATATAAGAAAAAAAGGAAAAAAAAAAAAGGGAGTGTGCACATTAATAGACCATGAAAATGGGAACATAGATTCCACAGTGATTTAGGTAAATCCTGTTCTGTAGCAAATGCAGTGGGAGAATGATTGACTGTGGCAGAGGAGCTGCTCAAGTCAAAGTCTGACTGTGGAACAAAATCCAAGACATTTTAGCACATTATTGACAATGACCTTAGCACTGGCAAACTGTTCGGAACAGCAGGAAAGAAGGCTCTTTTAATAGTATGAGAGAATGAAGATTGAAGTGCAGTTTGTGCGGAGATGAAGACTGGTAATACCTGCTTCTTAATTCTGATATTTATATTAGCATGTATCAGCAATAATACCTTAGTCATAATTCAGTTTGTGGTTTTGCCAAAAAAAAAAAGAAAAAAGTAACTCCAGCTTAGCAGTTGATTGGCATGAAGAGTAATACAGTGTAATAAGTAAATGGGTTTATGTGGGGGGTTTGGCTTAGGTTAATTTTTTTAGGCAATAATTATTATTTTCATGCATAGCAGCCCACTAATAAAAAATATATTTTAAATGTGTGTCTTTGACATAAATACGAATTTATTTTTTTTTCTGTGAGGAATTAGAAAGAGATTAAAAAATAGGACGTAAACGATGAAAGTTGATTGTGGTTTTTTGTGCGTTTGACTATCTTAAGTGCTTTTCTAATGGGAAAATTTTTTGTAACATCCATAATTTTGCATTCTAAGAAAAATCTAGATTTTCAAGTAGTGTTTATTACTTGAACGTAATAAACTTTATTACTTCCTCTTATTTTGATCTGATGCAGTATGCACTTCTGGTTTTTGTTTTCTTCTACAGAAGCACTGAGATTTTATTGATGTTATGTAATGCTTTGGCTCGGGGCTTAATTCTTTGTTGGATTCCAAAGCCAAAACTTTTTGAGAAGACAAAAAAAGATGCAGCAACAGACAGAAGCAGAAAAGCTGCAGCAAAGAAACATGAAAAAGCAAATGTCATCCAGTCTTTTTCAGTGGATCCCAGTGGACTTTGTGATATCAAAGCTGCCTTAGAGGTACAAAGTCCTCATTTTTGTAGTCTTTTTTGGTTTGTTGTTATGTTACAATTCATATAAATTAAATTGTAGAAATTTTCGTGAAAAATAAGCTACCATTTTTTACAGTTCCTGCCACCACAGGTCCTTCCTCACTGAGGTTCCTTACCAACTGGGGCTGAGTACTGTAACTTCCATTTGCTATATGGGTTGACTTAGTGGAGATGTTGTTAGGCTGAGAGATGCATGTCCAATAATTTTAAAATAACTAATGTGTGGCATGTTCCATACAAAGAGCTTTCAATATTTCTCCTGTGTTTTAGTCTTTTTTTTTTCTTCTTGGTGTTTAGATTTGTGAATTTGCCTTAAAAGTGACAACTGCCATCATACCTAATGAAACAGTACCTATTGCTGCACAACAACAGATCATTGCTACATGGGTGAAAGCAAAACAGTTAAATCAGCAGCAGATCAGACAGAAACTTGGGACTGAGGAGGAGGTATTATTTCTCTGAAATCCTGCATAATGTTGAAACTTTTCTTTGAAAAATTAAATTCATAAATTAATTCAATAATGACTGAAATTATCAATGTGTATTTTCTTCTATATATTTGAATACAACATGTAAATAAATTTTGGCTGTAGTTCCCATAAATGTTTACAGAACACAGAAAATTTTTCACATCAGGCATAGCAGCAAGTCTACATTTCTTAACTCTACTTTATGTTTTTAGCTGCCAAGAATAACTATGGTGATGTTTGTCATATGATGACTGTGTAACAAAGTTGGTTTTGAATTCATACATTTGAAATAATAAAATGGCTACATTAAAATGTTAATAAAAATCAGCTATATCTATATCAACATTTAATATGATCTCCTTATGTATAGAATATGGACCTAGTACATTGGAAATTAATATTTCATTCCTATCTTTTTATTATGTCTATAAAACCAGAATCCCTCAGTGATGTATGGAATACATCGTATTGATGTATCGTATGATATGGAATCATCGTATTGGTACTATGTTTTTTAATGTTGAAACTGTAGTAGTTCAGAGTTCACAATATTAATTAAAATAAACAAATACATAAAATCCTCCATTTTAAGGACACAATGAAGAGAGGAAGACTTGCTTAATGCAAATTGAGGTTTTCAGACATAGTTACTATTACCTTGTCATCTCAATTTATGTCCTTAATGCTTGCAAAAAAAAAAATCTGTTAATGTGAATTTTTTATTTCTTAGAATAATGAAGAAGCACAAAACCCTGTGGCAAGAATTCTTGTTGGCCTAGAAATGTATTCATGTAATGGCTTGGGTCTCATGGATTTCACTGTTCCTAGCTTATCTCAGGTATTTAGTTTTGCTTTGTTATCTCTTGAGTGTTAAGAAATTGCATAGTATAAATGTGATTTTAGTTTCAGTTTTGGATGGAGGCAAAATTAATTTTGAAACTTCTATTTAACCAGTATATCCTTTAAAACTTTCCAAGAGATTGAATAGTTGTGACAGGTAGAAGACTTTCGTAACTGAGTATTTTCATTTATGCAAAAAACAGATAGCATTGTAATACTGGTATTGAATTATTGCCATGTTGCTGTAACAGATTATTTCCATAACCACAGATGAGCACGATGGGTTCAGATTAATTCTGTACAGAACCATACTTCTGACCTCTCATTTTTGTGGAGAAAAAATTATAGCATCATAGAATCATTTAGGTTGGAAAAGACCCTTAAGATCATTGAGTCCAACCGTTAACCTAACACTGCCAAGTCTGCCACTAAACCATGTCCCTGAGTGCCATGTCTGCATGTCTTAAATACCTCCAGGGATGGTGACTCAACCACTTCCCTGGGCAGCCTGTTCTAGTGCTTGACAGCCCTTTCGGTGAAGAAATTTTTCCTAATATCCAATCTAAACCTCCCCTGGTGCAACTTGAGGCTGTTTCCTGTCATCCTATCACTTGCTACTTGGGAAAAGAGACTGACACCCACCTTGTTACAACCTCCTTTCAGGTAGAGGGGTGTATTTTAGGGTTTATATTGGAAGTATTCAGAACTTCAACAGAAGACTTAATGTTATAGTGAATTTACTTTGGCAGTTAGTTTGGTAGACCACAACTACACTTTGTTATTATTTAAAGAATTTGGTGGCTTTTAGATGAGGTATAGTTTCTTAAGTACTTGCTTTTGATCAGTCTTCCATGTTTACTCATGCTGAATAGTGCCACGCTTTTCCTGTGATCGTGTAAGTTACCAGGCTATTCCAGAGGAATAAAGCTGGCATAGAAAGGTTTATACCCTGTATTTTCAAAACAGAGAGTTGTAGACTTAACTGTTTGATTACCACATTTCTAATTTCTACCTCCTGTAAAGATCTTTCTTAAAGAACTAAGATGTATTTCCCCATTTAGCTAGGAATCTGGTGACATTGTCTAACACTTTTGTAGAAGTCCTTCTTTGTAAAGACCAGGATCTGGGTCCTTATAAATATATAGGTATCTAATTCTAGTTGGTCTACAGATTTATGCCAAATATTATGAGTTAGCTTTAGCTATTACTTCAGTGGCTTAGTTTTGGCGAGTGGTATTGTAGTATCCTCATTTTAACCAATTCATTAACAATTCCCATTATCTTGAAAAGATGGAACTTTCTCACTGATGCATGCAAAAGCAAGGAGGACGTTTAGATCCTATAATGAAACTATATATGAAACACTGTTGTTGTAAAACCAGTTCTATCTCCCATTCTTACATTTGACTTGAATTTCAGAAGTCTAGTTCCACTCATTTTGAGAAGAGGACTGAGGGCATATAGCAAGTTCTGGCAGATACTGCTGATCAAAAGTCATGCACACTTACAGCTGGATTTGCATACACTACTATGATACTTACTATAGGGTGAACGATGTGTCTCTATCGCATATTTTGATTGTTTTTGTAACTCTTTGGTTTTCTAGATTTTATCATGTACTTGTTTTATCATGTACTTGTTCCATGTCCAGGTGGGTTGTATGGAAGGTACATCTGTAAGCATGTAAGTACTATAGAAAAAGAAGAGAGCATGATAAAAACCTGAGATTTTAACCCTTTTTTTTTTTTCCCCTCCCCCCCTCCAGTTAGTGAAATTGGCTTTAGAATGCAGTTGGTCAGATTCCTTAGTGGAATTGCAGACACTGACACGACTTACATATTTTGCATATGCATCACGTGACTATGAAATAGTGATGACTTGTTCCAAAAGGATCTTGCAATCTAATGAGAACTTTTTCCACGACAGAGATACTAAGAAATATGAAATGTAAGTAGATGGAATTTTGCATGATACTGTGGTATAGTTGAACTAAGTTTTGAAGAAAGAGTATATAGGGTAAATGTATCTGACCACATACTCAAAAGTGAAAGAATCTGTTTTACAAAGAAACTGTACAGTTAGAGGTGGAAGTGAAATTTTCCTACTTCTGCTGACTCTGTCATTACCAGTTACTTAGTACTGCAGACGATGTTTTAATGGTGCAACATAGCCTGAGTAAAAGGCAGCGTGAGATCCAGATTGTGGATCTGGACCCAGTTCAGGAAGATATATGAATTTTGTTATCCAAGTGAGTCAACAGGTCATATATACATGAGTTTGAGTGTCTTCCTGAGGAGCTTTGCTTTTCTGAAATGGTCTGTGGTAATCATGGTCTTTTCACACTTTTATAATTTCCAAGCAGAAAGGAGCTTATTCTAGTTCTTTTGCTGATGCAAACAGCTTCCAGTGCTGAACTGGCTGTAATACACAACAGGTCTACACTGTTCATGGAACAAGATGGAGCTGTGAGTAATAATAGGTGATAGCAGCTGCTATATTCCAAGCTCTGGTGTCAGGTAGTCGTTATGGTCTTGATTACCACCATATGGGTCTAATAGGAATGTAACTAATTTCTTTAAAAGCCCAGTGTGTTACTTAACTGATAATTTAAAACTTTGATCTCAAAGAAAAAAAAAAGAAAAGGTTTCCTATATGAACAGATCTGTTGGTGGAGTCCTTTATTATAAAAAGGTAATATCATTTGATCCTTCTATTTTTTTATATAATTTCCTCCAAAAACAATGTAATTTTATCAAAAGAGGAATGAATAAATTCCGTTTAGTAGCAATTTGTTGAAATGTAGGAAGTTTGAAATAAACACGTGAAACACTTCAAATATAATCTATTGTTCATTTTTCTCTCTAAAAAATATCTTTAAAAGAATATTCTGCTCTTTGAAATCCATGCTTGTTTGCTACATGGGGAAAAAACAAGTAAAAACAAATAAGATATCTTAGCATGAAATATGTAGTTTCAGAACATTACAGAAATTGACAAAATACTTGCTACATATCTAGCAATCTGCAAACCAGTGAATGATAAAATGTTTGATTCTTTGACAAATGTAGTAATGAAAAATGCTTCTAGAGAAATGGAAGATGAACTTAGTCTTCCCATGGTAAAGCACAACTTCAAGACAAAGAAGGGTTAAAGATTTATTTTTAACTTTTTGTTGTTGTTAACTTGTCCTGTAGAACACTGGTGTCCTCTTGTGGATGGAAATCATAACTGTGTGATAGTTCTCACCACAGGGCAGGATCTAGGCCAACTAGTATGTCTAGGGTTTTGTGTATGGTTGCACGTTGTAACTTAAGACATTAAAAAAATCTTGCAAGTTATATTCTTCTTTTCTTACAAAATCACTATTAACCAAAGCTATAAAATTATTTAATTATTTTTAACTGATTAACTGCTGGGACTGAAATCTACATTCTTTTCTTCTAAATGTAGTGGAATATGATCCAAATAAATTTCTTCAGAGTCCTGTGCATACTTTACCAGACATAGGTGAGACCAATTCCAAAAGAAAGTATCAAAAATGGTCTAATTTTCCCTATTTCTTTTTTTAATTGCTTGCCATGTAAGTCTGACTTTGGACTAATATTTTGTTTGATGTACAATAGTGAATAATGGGGAGAAAACACCAAATCTATTTTCTCCCCTTGCTAAATATAGATAATAATTTTTTAATCTGATTTCACAGTTATTTTCATTATAGCTGTGAAAAAGATATTTTATTTCTGATATCTTCCCACAAAATGTTCAGTTCTTCAAATATTTTCTGATCTTAAAGTAAAATCAGTAGAAGCATTTGTAACTTCCAAAGCTAGAGACATCTATTTAGTAACTACTTGAAAGCATCATTAATAGAAACTGGTATGTTCTTAGACTGTAAGACTGGTACTTCTTGGATTATTTGTCTTTATTCAGGCCTGGTAACAGAGTGAGACAAGAAATGTTAAGCACTACTGCCTGTATACAAGGAAAGAGTATAATGGAACATTTGTCTGGAAGAAAACATTTGCGTGTAGCAGCATCAAAAGCCTTTGTTCAGAGTGCCAGGTATGTTTTATTTTGAGAGGAGACTAATATAAAACAGACCTAAAATTTGATTTACAGATTTGGGGATCAAGATATTCTCTCCCAAGAATGATAAAAATCAAAATAGTTGTGAATTGAAATGCGTAACAAAGGATTTGACAGATTTTTACAGTTTAGTAAATTCATCAAGTACCGTATGTTCCACATAGCTGATCTTGTAATGTTGTAGGATCATAGGAAAATCTCATTAGATTTTCCTATCATTTCCTAGATTTTTTTAAAAGACCTCAGAAAGGCTCTAGTCCAAACTCTTGCTCAAAGCAGGGCCAGCCCAGGGCTTTATCCAGCCTGGTCTTGAAAACCTCCATGAATGGAGACAGCACAACCTCTGTGAGTAACCTGCTCCACTGCTTGACTGTACTCATCATGGAAAAGTTTCTGCTTATAGCCACTGAGTACCTTTCTTATTTCAACTTTCTTGCTTATCCTGCCATCCACTATGAAGAGCCTGGCTGCTACTTCTCTATACCTTTGTTAGGTTATTAAGAAACTTCTTCTCGTTAGGTCCCCCAAAGCCAAGTCTTCTCCACGCTGAACTAGCCCAGTACTCTCAGCCTCTCCTCTCAAGGCAAGTGCTCCAGTGCCTAGATCATCTTGGTGGCACTCCACTGAGCTCGTTGCAGTTTGTCCATGTCTGGCATGTGTTGGGTGGCCTAGAACTGGATGCAGTAGTCTAAATGTGGTCTAAAGAGTGCTGACTAGGGGGTGATAATCAATTCCTTCAACACACAATCTGTTCCTGTTAATACAGCCCAGGATGTTGTTGGCCGTTGTTGCCAGAGTACACTGCTGGCTGGTTTTCAGCTTGCTGTCCACCAAGACCCCCAGGATTTATCAGCAGAGCTACTCCTAAGCCAGTCAGTCCTCAGCCTGTACTGTTGCAGAGCATCATATTAATATTGTGAACTGTATGTCATGAATCCAAAGTGGAGAGATTGTTTTAAAGAATTAATAGGCAGGAGAAGGTGATGCATGGATGATCCATGACTTTGGTATGAATTCTGTGCCATTTGGAAGGAATAAATTAATGAGCAAAAGTAGGCAGTTAGAACTCGTAGAAGGTGAACATGTGATGGCTGATGTGAGACTGTTAACATTGTAATACTTTCTTCCTTCCATTGATCATTAAAAAGAGAGTGATGAATGAAGTTAGACTAGCTAATGTAACAGAACTCTAAGGTGATGTCATGTTGTGGATGAATCTGTATTTTTTAAAATTTGCATGCTATGACAAACACTTTTTCAGGAAGGACTGAGTGTATATATATCCACTTCAACACATTCCAAAAAGAAGACAAATAGTGGTGAGCAAAAATTAGGCCTTAGTAATTCTAGTGTTAAGACATAATGTGTGTAGGCATATGGACTCTAAAAATCATGAAACTATGGGAGAAAATGACAAAGGTCATGAGATTCAAAAACTACTTCTTTGGAAATAGTAAAACTATTCAGTGGGTGATCGTTTAATACAAATCCATAATTTTTAGCTAAATTTTAAAGCTTTTGTGCACTCATATGAGTACTGTGTTGTATCACAATCTGGAGAATTATTAAATTTTATCAATTCAAAGTAACATTTGCCTGGAATATGCTCAAAACAATTTGAATGCCACTTGTGTTACAGTGGTACTGTGCTATGCAAAATCCTTTGCATTTTAGTAATTGTTTTGTTCTATTTTTAAATGTGTTTAGGATGAGAAATTAACATAATAGGAAGCAAAAAAAGTAGATTATTCCAATGAGAACGTCTCAAGTAGATTTCTACTATTTCTTTAAATGAAGGCTCTTGAGCTGGGATTACACAGAAATACAATAAAACCATCAATATGGTACTTGTTTATCACTACTTCTGCTGAATGTGTGAAGGTGTTTTGTATATAAAAATGGAAAATATCTTTTGTATGAAACTCATGTGCTAACCCTTTATTACTAAGATTATATATGGTTGTGCCTAGATCAGGTAAACACGGATATTTGTAGAAGTAAAATCCTTTATTTTGACTCAAGTGTGATTGTTTTCCTTCATTAAGTTGTTCTTCACTTTCTTCAGGTATGCAGGTGAAGCTGGAAATTATTCCCTTGTAATGTTTGCAGCTAGACACTTTTGGAATACGTGTTTACCTTTGCTGGGTTCTCCACATGACAGAGAGCAGTTTAAACAACCTATTGAAATAATTCTTAAATATATAATTAAAGCAGAATCTAAAAATAAACAGGTAAGAATATCTAAAAGGTATTGCTAATTGTGCTTGTGTTTAGTGATTGGTACTTACGATAAAGAAGAATTTTGGATTGCTCTGAAGCTCTGGGTGCATACTTCAAGATAACTTTCCTAAGAGGGGAAAGTGACTTATTTATCATAACCACATAAATGGTTTCTTACCTGCATTCACAAAGCACACATTCACACATACAGGGAATCACATACTTTTTTTTTTTTTTCTTCCATTTGGTGGTTCTTCTGGTTTTAGGCAATTGTCAGACTTGCAACAGTTTTCTGCAAAATAATTTGCTGTCTGAAGTGCTGTAGTGTTTCACTTTGTGAAGCTTACAAAAGGCAATGTTTAGAAAATAGTCAAAAGAAAAGCAGGAAAAAATCTGTCACTTCTGGAAAAGGTGGTAATAGATCGTAAAAGACAAACTCAGGAAAACAGTGTAACTAAATGAAGATTCCCCACACCTGCAGATTCAAATTTCTCTTTCACCTGCAAAAAGGAATTTTAACTTTGCATATCTTCAGTTTTTTAACAGAATTTTTAGCAGTTTGGCAGTAGGAAGGAGTTATAATTCAAACTGTACTGGGAATTGGTGATAAAACTAGATACTTGTTGATTATGAACAGCATGCATAAACTGAAGAAGTCATCCTCTCAAAACAATATGTAGGTGATGTTTATCATGTAAGACATCTCGCCATATGAGATTTCTTTTGCACACTGAAACATCCCTACACATTTACAATTTTTCTTACTTAAAATTCCCCAGAGCTGATCCATTTCTTTTTGCAAGTTTGATTTACATGCCAGTGAAGCTGATGTGAGTTTTCCTGTGCATTTCCATGGGCTCAATTTCAGTTAGAGCCTGAAACATTTATTAATAACTCTTGCATTCAAGCTCAGTGGTACCAATATGAGCCTGCATCTCAGATCATCAAGCAGGGAGGTATAAAAATAGAAAACTTAATTTTGATTTCTCTTCAAGCCATGTATAAATCAGAACTAATCAGAGATGATGACTGTTCTGCTTGATTCTGGGTGTGTAGGAGTCAGAACTGATGAGAACACTGTGTACTTGGAAGCACAGTGAAGACTGTAAACTTAATGGAACTTTGACAGTGTTTGGATATATATCAGTAATTGCCCATAGGCACAGTTCTAAAGGTTTAGTTATTTGCAGAGATTATATATTTAAAACCAATAAAAAGGAGTACTTCATTATGTGTATATAGTTAACGCACTACCACAGCATATTTTCAGAGTGAACCCTTAATAAGTAGTATTAAAAAGCAAGACATTAATGTAGATAATGAAAGTATACAGTTATAGATAGTATAGACTTTATGCCTGAAAATGATAGTATTAGTTAGAAAAAATATTTCCTATAAACAGAGCATTCTATATTTCATCATTTCTGGAGTTACTGAACTTTTTTAATCTACTGTAGTAACCATTGTAAGAGGCAGGAGGTGGTCTCCAGTGATCCTTGATCAGGCTAACTCTAGGCAATTTTTTAATGCAGTCACATATGGAGAAGCATATACCAGAAGATAACTTTTAGTTTAGTTCAGCAAGGCAATGGTTCACTTATTTGAGATATGTACCAGCCTGACAACTAAAAATGGGTTAAAACAAAAGTAAAGTAAAAGCAAGTACTACAAAAGCTTTGCCACTGCTATTACTAGCTTTCTTAAAACAAGATTACAGATTGGTTTTTGAAATCTGGAATTGAAGCTGTCCTTTGCCCTCATGTTACTTCCACAGAATAATAAAATCATAGAATGGTTTGGGTTGGAAGGGACCTTTAAAGGTACCTAGTCCAACCCCTCTGTCATGCGCATCTTTCACCAGATCAAGTTGCTCAAAGCCCCGCTCAGCCCGACGTTGAACATTTCCAAAGATGGGGCATCCACAACTTCTCTGGACAACCTACTCCAGTGTCTCACCACCCTCATCGTAAAAAGTCCCTCCCTTATTTCCAATCTTAAACCTACCCTCTTTCAGTTTAAAACCATTGCCCCTTGTCATGTCACTTACGGGCCTTGGTAAAAAATCTTTCTCCATATGTCTTGGAAGATCCCTTTCTATATTGAAAGGCTGCAATAAGGTCTCCTCAGAGCCTTCTCTTCTCCACACTGTACAACCCCAACTTTCTCAGCCTGTCCTCATAGGAGAGGTGTTCCACCCCTCTGAGCATTATCGTGGCCCTCCTCTGGACCCTCTCTAGCAGGTCCATGTCTTTCTTGTAATGAGGATCCCAGAACTGGATGCATTATTCCAGGGGAAGTCTCACCAGAGTGGAACAGAGGGGCAGAATCCCCTCCCTCAACCTGCTGGCCACGCTGCTTTTGGTGCAGACCAGGATACTATTCATCCACCAGTATCTCTAAGTCCTTCACCACAGGACTGCTCTCAATTCATTCCCCCGTCTGCACTGATATTGGGGATTGCCCTGACCCAGGTGCAGGACCTTGCACTTGGCCTTGTTGAATTTCACAAGGTTCCCACAGGCCCACTCCTCAAGCCTGTCAAGGTCCCTCTGGATGACATCCGTTCCCTCTAGTGAATCAACTGCACCACTCAGCTTGGTGTCACCAGCAAATTTGCTGAGAGTGCACTCAATATCATTGTCTATGTCACTGATGAAGATACCTGCTGGAAAAGTAGCATGGTGAGCTGTAGGCAATCCAGGAGTCTCCTGGAGTGCATTGAGGATAACTTCTTAAGCCAGGTGACAGACAGCCATGCCAGAGGGGGTGTGATACTGGACCTGTTGGTCACTGACAGAAGTGAGCTAATCAGTGTTGTCAAGATTGGAGGCAGCCTCGGCTGCAGGGGTCATGCACTGGTGAAGTTCTCAATCCTGAGGGTTATGGGGCAGGTGAAGAGTAACGTCACGACCCTGAATTTTAGGAAAGCAAACTTAGAGCTCTTCCAGGATTTAGTGAATAGGACCTCCTGGGAAACTGCCGTCAGGGACAAGCGAGCAGAACAGAGCTGGCAGATCTTTTAAGGACTCGTTCCATAGAGCGCAAGAGCTCTCGATCCCCACATGTAAGAAATCAGGAAAGGAAGGCAAGAGACCGGCATGGCTGAGTGGAGACCTGCTGGTCAAACTAAAGGGCAAAAGAAGGAAATGTATAGGCAATGGGGGCATGGACAGGTATCCTGGGAAGAGTATGAGGATGATGCCTGGTTGTGTAGGGATTGGATTAGGAAGGCCAGGCATGGCTGGAGCCAAACTTTGCAAGGGATGCTAGGAGAAATAAGAAGGGCTTCTAGAGGTATGTCAGCCAGAAAAGGAAGGTCAAAGAAAGTGTACTCCCCTGGTGAACACAACTGATAAACTGGTAACAATGCACAAGGAGAAGGCTGAGGTACTCAACAACTCCTTTGCCTCAGTCTTCACTGGCAATCTCTCTTCCCACACCTCTCGAGGGGATGGCCTGCAGGATGGGGACTTGAGGCACAAAGTCCAGTCCCTCCCACAGTAAGGGAAGATCAGGTTCATGACCATCTGAGGAACC